CCCCAAAACCCCAAAACCCCAAAACCCCAAAACCCCGTAAATGTTTTTAATCCTTGGCACAATAATATTTAAATATTTATTAATTTAAATTCTCAAGAGCCCAATGAGAAAAATGAATGATCATACCTATCCACGGCGGGGATTTGGAAACTATGCACGACCCGACCAATTAATTAACAAACCTCCTTCTTCAATGCCTTCGTATAACAAATCAAGGAAGGCTAGAAATGGTGCTCCACAAAACTTTTAAAAAGGGAATAATGGACAATGGAATGGGGTCTAGCTCAAGTAAACCAACAGTAAGCATCTTTAATCCTAAAATCCTTTCATAAAATTATAATAACTATTAATTTGAATGACCTTGTAGTCTGTGGTGTATTCCTGAAGCATAATTCTCGACCAATTTGTATTTGTTAAACTCTTCGCAAGTGCAATTAAGCGCCTACAGTGGACTAGTTCGTGTAGAGTTTATAGTATCCTCATAAGATGCAAGCCCTCAGCGCTGCTAATTGATTACAAAATTAGATCCTTAATAGATATCCTAAATTTGAATTGTTCTAGATTAACTTCATCATATAATTGCAGAGAAAATTTGGACTTGGCTCTTTGCCAAAATAATTCCTTTAAAGCTCAAAGCATAATGATTTTATAGACTTGAGCATCAAAAGAAACAATTGTTATCAAAGTAACTGATGAAAGAAAGAACATCAACAAAAGCTTTGAATGAGGTAAAAATCTACTGTTACGTGAAATGAAGTACTTCGAGAAGCATCTCAATAGCGGAGACTCTGCAGAAGATATAGATATAAGCGTTCACTGAGATGTTGTGATCTTTGAGTGGTTGATGGATTACATAAATAATAAAGAGCCTAAATTTTCCAAACAAAATGTGATCCCAATTTTGATATCTGCAGAATTCCTCATAATCAAAAGACTCATTGATGAGTCTGTCAGATTCATAGGGAACAATCTTTCTGAGGTCTCCAAGGTCCCTATTGATCTAAACTGTCTGAGCTCAAGTATTGTAAAATAAGCTGGCTGACTCGATTTCTCTAGAAAGGATAGTATCATGTAAAGATCTTAGAGAGACATTGACAAATAAGCTTTACTCTCACAAGCTTGATGATTTACTTAAATAAGGATCAGAATAAGCTCTCAAGATGAGTGCACTGTAACATCCTATACACTGTAGAACAATCCAAGTGGATGACCTGCCCAAAAGCGGGTATTTTTATTGATTATAGAGGCAGAGTGATTGCAGATCACTTACCAGACACCAATTGGAGCATAGAAGATTTCTTCGGGTTCTTAAGAAAGAATGGGGTCTCATGGAAACGAATTTTTTGGAAAATTTGGGGCCGCCTTACAACTGATGAATGCACAGAATGAGGCAGCATGTTTGCTGTGGCAGACTACAATAAGTGTTCTTATCACACAGCAGAGCCAATCTTTGGATATGGGTCAAATACTGGATATTATCCTTGATGAAGCTCAGAAGCAGTGAGGTTTTCAACTGGAGTTAATGCTGAAGGGTGACAAAACAAGTCTCATTCATTTAAACTAATGAAGTCTGACTCTATTGAGTACATCTATTTCAACAAGCATTTTGAATATCTTAAAGAAACTGATAGCGTAAAGCATAATCAATCTCTAACTTCTGAATCAAAATAATGAAGAGTCAAAGGCTTCCCTTCAAACAATAAAGTACAAAAATATGAGCCTCTTTACTCTTTTGTCTGAATTTGTGGGAGGAAAGAAATCAAAATCTCTTAATAAGAACTGAGCTGAATGAAGAAAATTAGGCACTTTCTGAAGAAGTTGCTATTCAATGCAAGACGAAGATGATGATTCTCCAGATTTCAACTTCGTTCTCCCTAAAAAGCTAAAACCATCAAGTAATTCCCCACTAACCTTCATAGACAATACCAAAAAGGACAAAGAGAACCTTCCCAAATAAACCAACCAAGGGGAAATACAAAATGTGGAAGCATGACTACTTCCGCGACAAAGATCGTGAAGCTATGGACGACATCACCAAACAACTAAAAAGACACCGTAAAAAGGCCAAAACCTCCCTTACAAAATCCCTCTCTCTCGCTCGTTCTCAGAACAAATCCCATACAAAATCAAGTAAGACAACCAAGAAGCTTGCAAGTAAAGGTACGAAGAGTAAATATAAATAAGTATTTCAGTAATTCAAAATGGAGTCGGGGTTTTGGGGTTTTGGGGTTTTGGGGTTTTGGGG